CGATGATGAAGAAAAAGACGTTTTCTGTTTTCGCCATCAGAGCTCAAAAACAAAAATCTAAATGTCGACTTTTTTTCTTCGATTTCCGTCAAATCTTCTACGATGCTAGACTAAATTATTTCTACTATCATTGTGGTACTTATTGCAAAAAAAACCTGACAATACAAAAAAATGACTATTTTCAGTAGCCGTGACGTACCAAGTTCTTATTTAAGTAAATTTCATAATTATTAACCATTTTCGATATCAATTCTTCTCTTATGGTTAAAAAGTCTGAAAAAAATGGCATTACATTGAATCTCTTTTTTCTATATGATCTTAAAACTGCTCAAATACAATTAACTGGAAAGAGTTCTTTGTTGCATTCTCCGAATATAATTCTCAGGACCTATATTTCTTCTCCTTCTGATTCACTCTCTGTGTCATGGCGTCTTTGCTAGACGGGAAAAACAACGTCTATGTATTAGTTCAAAACATGATGCATAACATTTTTATCAACGTTAACTAACGTTGTTAAACGAATGAATTCTCTCTGGTAACAACAGAAAAAGATTCTTTTGCAGTACTGACAGAAGATAATACGTTAGTACATCAGATAAATGAAATATTTTTGTCATACTTGTCATGCTTTGTGCGATGATCACATTATACAGAATTTCGTTAAAATTTGTACTGAAGAATGGGAAAAGTCAGCAGTTTTAGCAAAAATACCGGATAAAAGTGACCGAGGAGAAAATGAATTCGGAGTCTTGATGTTTCTGATGGAATCGTTTCTCTAAAAAAGTTTGCAGAAATTATATTAGAAGTTACGAAAAAAGTTATAGGTTATATGAGATTCTAAATCAAAAGACTTTTTATAGAATGAAGTACAGGTTATTAAACAGTTCTAAGCTGCACATTTAAAATTCCAATCAATGCCAAAGCATTATGTAGCGTCGATACACACCCGTACCAATACCAATGACAATAAAAACATTTGTTGAAATAAAGATATTTGTCAAGAGTAATACGTATTTTCCAGTTAAAACTCGCAATACGGTTTAAAATGACAAACTATTTTTTTGTATTCTGTCACGAATAACTCTGAACATTAGCGTAGTGAATTTGAACAGATGTTGGTTTCACTATTGACCTGAAAAAAATTTTGTCTTCCATTTGCAACTTTATCATAATAATTTATTACATTCCTTTTCTTTTTATAAAGTAGAAAAGCAGAACCACGGAACAAAGCTGTTTTAATTAAATATAATAAAAAGAAAAAGCAAGTTTCATAGTCAAAATAACGGTAGAATACCAGTATTTTCCATCAATCACAACTCATGACGATTATCTCATCACGTTCGTCTATTATTTACTTAACGACAGTAATAGAAAGGATATTTGTATTATAAATAATTTTTGATTTTATATAAACTTCAATACTACTGACAGTTAGACTAATAATTCCCTAGGAAAGAGTTGACGATAGTCTATCAAATGTCTAGATTCAGACCATAATAATAATTTTTCAAGAAAATTATCAGATCAAAAACTTTTTAGTAATGATTGATGTAATAAAAACGAAAATAATCAGAGATACAAGGGAATAATCTTTTCTTTCTATCATGTTCTTCTTTATTCTTATATTTCTCACATCAAAATTCGTAGAATAATTTTTATTATATTTTCCTCTTTCTTTTTTGGTTGAACACATTAGAGAAAATAAATATAGTAGAGAATGTGAACAACATTATTTTTCCGATACAAAACAACACTAAGTACTTTTTTGTCCTTGTTATATTTCAATTGTTCATTTTTATTTAATTAAACGGTACTGCCTTATACCTTATGAACAACTGAAACAAACCTAATCATAAAGTATTATTTTAAGAAAAAGTAACGATGTAAAATAATATATTTAGCAAGAATGTTAATTTTTTGTATGTAAGTGTAATTAATTTTGTAATACTGGAATATGGTACCACCACCTCCTGACGCAACTGGCATGCGCAAATCTCAGACAACAGGCAAAAACACTGGAAACGAACCACCAATAATTCTTACGGAAGAAGAGCAATTATTAGTTTCCATTAGTCAAGGTACTCACGAGGTATATGTCCAATTGACCTTGTTTATAATAATATCCCTTTATATAACTCACCGTTTTGGGATAGATTGTTGTGTTTGCTTAGTTTATTCGGGAAACAGCTAGCTCGTGTATCTAGTTCAAATAATTCTCTAACAGAATGAAAGCATTTTTTCAATGTTATTTACTTTCTCGGATGAGAAATTCAAATTCTTATAAATTTTTCTTTTCGGCAAGCTTTGCAAGAAAAAGTTCAACGTAAATAAGTGGTTCATGAGTTAAACTTTGATAGCTGTATTTGAAGAATATGCCATTTAGAAGTTTAAATTTGTTCTTCAGACAATTTAGAGGATACATGTTAATTTCAAACTATTTCTGAATCGTAGAAACACACGTACTATGCGAATGAAATGACCATTTTATATATACAGTGGAAAAAATTTGTAATAAAATGTTAATATGTTGACATATGATTATTAAGGAAATGACATAGACGTACTGAAAGTTAAACATAATTGCGTGCATGCTGTTGATGCATATTGCGTCAACAAATGCTCTGGTTTTCAAGTTACTTCTTTAGAGTGACACGAAAAGTTCATGTTAGAATCATACCGTTTTGATACTATCACGGACATTGTGGAGGAAAACTTAGTATCCAAACTCGCTTTTCGTTCTTGAGTAAAATGAAATATCAACTGAACAATTAGTTGAAAGATGTGGATATGGATAAGATATAGACTATGCACTAAAATAAGAGCGTAAAACAAGAAAGTTTTGCGTGTTTTGAAAAAAGTTGTTTAAACCGAATCGAACTTAATCGAAACATTTCTGAAACATGTCAATGTGAATCGATTCAGCTTTTAGTGAGCATGATAATAAGAGTTCACAACAATTCTTCCAGTTGATTGAGGTTTTTTCTTTAATATAAAGACATGCTCTAACACAACAGTACTTTTTTCTTCCGCTCTCTCTCTTTTTCTCTTTCATCCTATCCTGTACCCAATAGCAATAGAAATGAGTAGTTCTACTTAGTCAACGACGATTTTAGATTGACAAGGCGTTTCTTTCTTCCTCTCTGTATTGAGTATTTCACATCTCTCAAATAATATTAATTATATCTATAAACGAACAAATGAGTTGGTAAAAGCGTGCTGACACATGAAGTCTTTGGACGAAACAAAACGAGAGAGCTCAATGAACTTTGAATGGACTCAAAAATCGTGCTTCCCTACTGTGATAGATAGATAACACTGACGACTTCTGTTGATCGAGTATAAAAGTTTGGCTATGAAAACACAATAAGAGGAAATTAATGACAATCAAGTGGTAAAAGTAGATCTTATTCATACAGTTCTATACTAAAATTCGATATAATTTTTCATTTTATTCACGTATGATCTTTCTTGTTTCAGTCGCTGGAATGCACTCGACGTATGATTACTCTGTGTGATGAAGTAAGCGTATATTCAACAAAACGCTTGTATTTCTCTAGCAAACTATCCGTTTGATTCTAGAGCAAAGAAGCTGGAATTCGTACATTGGTCATGCTCGACGAACAAGGAGGTATCGTACTTGCACATTGTTAATATCTGATCTAATCATACTTGGTAATACACAGCTTACACGCTCTAAACTTGTCATGGTCACGCCAGGTTCGCCACGGGCAGGACACGTTACGTAGCCACGTCATGTGACTTGTAAAAACTCTTGTCCGTTCGCCATGCCATGTGGCCTGTTTTTCTAGCTAATTTTTGAGTCATCGTTCAAGGAGTTTTTTCTGATTTCTTATAAAACGATGATTTTTATATAACTCTCATGATCTTTCTTCAACTTTTCAAAGAAAAGCAGGAAAATATTGAAGAAGGCCGGCAGTCATGGAAATTATGTCTAATCGATCTGTCGCTTTGTACAAAGCTCTACTTTGTTTCTAGACTTCCACTATATTTTACTCGGACTTTTCTTCGAGAACATGGTTCAATCAATTTTTAATGTTTCCGTTGTCTAGATGTTTCTGTCACGCCACAATATTTATCTGAAAAAAAAACACGTCGGTGTGAATAAAGAGTGAAATTACAGATGCAGAGGGAAGCCTGCTTTCGGCTCCTTGATCTTCTCTCTAAATACTTCCTGGTTTTCGAGTCACAATAATGAACTATATGATTTTTTCGGCTTTAGAATCTCTGAGAAACATTTCTTTCTCAAGTTTACTAAGTTCTGTACTGTAATTCTCAATTCTAGTTCGACATGTGACTGAAACTTGACCTCGAAATAAAAGTGAGAGAGATTAACGTCTTTTAGTTCATTTACTAGTGAGTTTTAACGATAAGGTTACGGTTGTCATATGCGAAGCATCGAGCATCCACGCTTGGACTTTTAGAAAATGTATATCTGTAGATATCAGCGCTAGGATCAGGTCGTTGCTAGAGCCAATCGGGCATCCTCTGAATGAGGTGGAATGGCTGAAACCCAGTCCTCTATGAGTCAAACAGGACCGAATTGATATTCGCTACATGCTGAAAGCCACTAATAGCAACGCGATCTTACATCGAGGATACTCACAGTTGCAAAGACGTCAGTCTGTGGGTGGCATTTTCGCACTTCTGTGCAATTTTATTTTGAGATGTTACACAATCACTTTGTTCAACTGAGACTACGCAGAAGAAGATACCTTAGATTGGATGCATTATCTGGGAAATATAACCAGTCTTGGTCCTATGAACTGACTCAAGAATAATAGTTCAACTGTGACTATGGGAAACTAGAAAGGATTTATTTCTCTTGATTGCCTCTCTTTGAAATTACTGTGTACTCATCTTGTAAAGTATTTCATTTTTTTTTAGAGTAAGTTAGTTACGATAGATTAGAAAAAAAGACTGATAAATGCATTATAGCATATTTTTTTTGACTAATCAGCTCGTTCTCAGCTTCCAGTTGAATGATCAGTTTGTGTATTCAGATACCCAAATGCTTTAAAACTCTCCAAAAGTATAAAATATGTAATCAACAAAAAAGTTTTTCTTTCGAAGAGCAACTTGATAATATCGATGAACGTATGGACAGAATTAATGAAGATATGCGTGCTGCTGAAAAAAACTTAGAAGGTCTAGAAAGATGTTGTGGTCTTTGTGTGTTGCCGTGGAAAAGGTGCGTATTTATCTTGTTTTCTATGTATTACGTAAGTTTCCATTTGCTCTATCGTTTTGAATTAGATCGAAAAATATTGAGAAAAGTGCTGCTTATAGTGCAACGTGGCAATCGAATGATGATGGTAAAGTTAACAGTAAGCAATCATCACCATGCCGACGGTTTGCATGTTAAAGTAAATCCTTGTTTTTTGTTTTTCTGTAGGTTCAGGACCACGACAAATTGTTAATCAAAATGACACAGGACCAACAAGCGGTTATATAACACGGTTAGTAACAAACCATTTCGATAAGATTTGAAAATGTCACCTTTGGGTTTGCTACCGTGTTCGTTACAGCATAACAAACGATGCAAGAGAAGACGAAATGGAAGGAAATCTTCAACAAGTTACTACAATGATAGGCAATTTGAGAAATATGGCTGTTGATATGGGTAATGAAGTGTCAAATCAAAATAATCAAGCAGAAAGGATTCTTAAGAAGGTAATATTAAGATATAATTTCTCAAATATCTTTAGTTTTGATCCTTTTCTGTTTTAAATAGGCTGAATTAAATGAAATTCGTATAGTAGATGCAAATCAACGCGCTGGTAAACTACTTCAAAGTTCATAGAGGTATATACCAAAATTATGTGCTATTTTCATGAACAATAAAATCTGTATGTTTGAGACATGTTACTACTGGTCTTTCGATTGATTATTTTTATACAAGTAATGAGCTTTGGGCGAACGATTTTCTTTTACGATGTAATAATTTGAAAAGTATATAGCACAAAAAAGTACATCACTGGTATTCTTCCTCAGTAATGTGTTTTCGTGCGCATAGTGCTTATTTTATTACACATATTACGAAAGTTATCATTGGTCAATATGTTATCTGTTGCGTGCTTGATGCACATAAACGCAACACGAAATCTTGTTACTCATGTTGTATTTATTTTATTTCCGTTTTATTCTTATGCGAAAGTAACTAAACGACTCTGTTTACTTTTTTAGTAGGACCAAGATAAGAATGTTAAGTTCATCCGCTGTAATCTACTATTTATTTCTTGATATATTTTTTTAATGATTTTACATTTCATCATACAGTATCAGATTATTAGAAACAATGCTATTAGTTATTTTTTATTTATTTTGGCTAAGAGTTTCTGTAAAATTTCGTTTTTTTGTAAGATATTTTTAAACGTATTTAAAATTATCTGCTTTTTCTCTGAAAGACTATAAACTGTCTGATGATCTTTTCCAAAAAAAGATCACTTCTTTCCAAATTCTATCAAATAATTTGACAAGATTTCGTCCACCTATCGAGAGTTGTAAGAAAGGACTAAAAATTGATAATAGTAGAAATTAAACTTTTGAACTACTATTGTGCTCAGTAGTTGAGTTGTTTAAGCTATGTTTGCTCCTAATTGTTGACACCGAGTGCATCATTCGTGTTTATTTTTTATTTTATCGCTGCATAACATATATCTTCGTTTGGAGAAAAAATTGCATTTTCTTAGTATATGAATTTTTATGAGCTTAATATTTGTTTCCTTAAATGTATGTTACTATCCTCACATGGTTTTATTATTTGTTTCACAAAAAACTTTGTATTCATCTGTCTAAAGTTTTTACAAACGGTGATAGTGAAACAATTTTTTTCCTATATTTGTATTCTGTCTCACTTCCCGTATTTTTCTACCTGCACCCCCACTCACTGTGTTTAACTACTGCTTGTATTTCATTTTAATGCTTCTCTGTTTATGTGTTGGTTTGGGTGTTGATTTTTGTATATCTTATCTGTTAGTTACGCATTATATGACGGTTCACCGTGAACTTTTAAGTTTGTACATAAGTGATCAATAAATACCTATGTTTTAGAAAGAAGGAGATCAAGTTGTGAAAATTTTCTCAAACAAACCACTTCTACGTCTATCAAAAAGTTAATCACACAATTCGTTTATAACAACGTATACTTCGAAAATTGGACCAGCTCAAGTCCTTTTCTTTTAAATTTGCGTGTAATTGCCGATTGGGGTGGCACTTTACCTTTGCTATGCTAAATTAGTTACCGCGTTACCAGAGTAACAAAAATGTTTTTAATATGTTACATCGTTACTTTCTAGAGAGTAATGAAGTAACGAAATTAATTACTCGTAACTGGTAACGAAGTAATGACTAAATCAGTTATGCGTTACTAGTAACGAATAACTAACTTGGTTGCTTTACCTGGTAAAGTAACGCCGAGTAACAGTAACCTGTCACCCCTAATTATCGAAAATTTGATTAAATGTCCAAGTAAGCGATGGATTCGAGAAGCTTAGCCTATATTATATCTAGATGACTGACTAATTGGTCATATTCACTACCATTTGTACAAATATTGAAAATCAACTTAATATATCGTGATAAAGAGATGAATCCTCCTGAAAGCTCTTATAAATCATATACTATTAAAATTGACAGAGTGCGTTCGCGGTAAAAGTAGAGTAACTCCTTCACTTTTATGTAGCTCTTCTAACTGGCCCGAAAGTTCAGGAGATACAGTTATATACTCGAAACCCTTTCAAGATGAGGAATTTTTACCCCCAATGAGAATGTCTTAAAATGTGTGTGTATCGTGTCTTACTGTTCGTTGTGTAGAACATCTTAAAAAAGGGTGGAGAACGTCTTTGTTGGGTATATATTAACGTCAAATCGAATCGCGTTGAAACATTCGAGAGATACTATCTCAAGCAAACTATCCGTTTGATTCTAGAGCAAAGAAGCTGGAATTCGTACATTGGTCATGCTCGACGAACAAGGAGGTATCGTACTTGCACATTGTTAATATCTGATCTAATCATACTTGGTAATACACAGCTTACACGCTCTAAACTTGTCATGGTCACGCCAGGTTCGCCACGGGCAGGACACGTTACGTAGCCACGTCATGTGACTTGTAAAAACTCTTGTCCGTTCGCCATGCCATGTGGCCTGTTTTTCTAGCTAATTTTTGAGTCATCGTTCAAGGAGTTTTTTCTGATTTCTTATAAAACGATGATTTTTATATAACTCTCATGATCTTTCTTCAACTTTTCAAAGAAAAGCAGGAAAATATTGAAGAAGGCCGGCAGTCATGGAAATTATGTCTAATCGATCTGTCGCTTTGTACAAAGCTCTACTTCGTTTCTAGACTTCCACTATATTTTACTCGGACTTTTCTTCGAGAACATGGTTCAATCAATTTTTAATGTTTCCGTTGTCCAGATATTCGAACACGGTGATGATTGTTGGGGATGTTTGTGTGAAGGCTTTAGGAATGAAGTTAATAATTTAACATTAATCTGTGGTGAGTGTAATTGGAAAATACCTATAGACGATATAATGTATCTTGTTCATAGCGCATGATCTTCGTGTTACAGGTGTGACTAGTTAGGTGTTCTTAGCACCTTACAAAAGTCTAGGGATCGTGTATGTGAAGCTAATTGTACCGAACGTTAGACAGAACCACTTTGTTAATATTTACAGAAGAGTTACACATTTTATTTCCGTTTTTTTACAGCAAGATAAATCCCTCTGTACGGTACTGTTTTTTGACTACTATGTTTGATCCGGAGTCTCGTCTTTCTACCCAATGAGTTTGTTCAAAATTGAAACTCCTTTTTCTGCTGGAGGGTACACTGCGAAAAAAAAGTGCTCTTTGGTGAGGTTTAGGGCACATGAAAGCGTCCTAAATGCGCCAGAATAAACGTGAAAACAAAAAACAGGACACTTTCATGTACCCCAAACCTCACCAAAAGGCATTGTTTTTTCGCAACGATTCTGTTTTTGCTTTTTATCCTACATTCTTTATTGTACATCTTGCCTCACAAAAAATAGTGTACCTTAATCCGACCCTATCCTTCAGGTTAGAGTAGGATTAGACCATCCTGAGAGATTCTACCCTTGAAATAAACTCTTATTCATCTATTGCACTAAGATAACGAATTGTTTTCTTTTTTTTATACTTCATAATTTCTACTATATATAATGGTTTTGAAAAAAAAGTAGCTCAAATATGCATATGGCACACGTATTTTAGTGTTTCTTTCTCGCATGTAAATATGTTTTATCGCATTTTTTTGAGAAAAAAATTCCACTAGCTGAGACGCGAAGGAAGATGAAAAAATTTCTGTCCATTCTCTTTGGGTTTTAGAGTCAGAAATGAAGCAAAAACGGTAGGTTTTCTCTTGATGTTTAAAAAAATCTTTCATTATGTTTCTTTATTTTTAATCTATAAAAAGTAAAAAATAACTGTCTACATTTCGAACGCACCATAGATCCTCTATTTTTTTTCTTTCCGATCACGAAAAAGTTTTTTTTCTATGAATACTATTTATTTCATACGATAGGTACAATTATATACATTATATAAGGACGTAACAGTTGCACTACGATTATTTTACATAACAGTATAGTTGCGAAAAAACAGATGATAAACAAATCATCTAAATTAAAACAGTAATTTTCTTCGTTCAAATTTTTTTTAATTATAATTTGTACTTATTAATCATATAAACAACCAACATGCCTTGTTTAAAAGTCGAAACAAGTCAAACGTACGCAATAAAGTTCGTTATATGAAGCACACTTTGAAGAAAAAAACTGAGTGTTCTTCTTGCTGATATTAAAAAGTTTTAGTCGAGCGGAAAGAAATAATAAAAAAGTTCTTACTAATGTGATTTTTCCATTTTAGAATGAATCATTTTTGTTATAATCTCGCTCCAGATCCAAAGAAGTGTTCCTGATGTGGCTCACGTTACTGCTGAAAGGTTTACATCGAGCGTAATAAGCGCAGAGGGCAGTAGCGTGGGCAATCTCAATATCCTCGCGCCATTATCAGAACAAATTCAGTCAAACATACGGGTAATCAAAGAAGTTAAACTTACCATCGCAAGATATTATTATGATATTTATGTTTCAGAAATTTTGTAATGAAACTCCTGGAACTAATGAAATTAAAGAAGAACATTTAAAAACATTCAAAGATCAACATAACATTGGCTGGACAACAACGTTTTGTAATGATAGATTGTATATAGAAATTCCATTACATTTAGCTGAAGGCACCAAAGAAAAGTAGGACGATAGTAGGAATACGCATAAGTGAATACTATATGTTTTGTCCTGTTTATTTAGCTTTATAAATATGCTCGAATTTGCTGAAGGTACACTCGAATGCAAATATGTATTTATTTATTTCGAAAAGAATCGGGATGATCGAGGTAATACTTTTCTTGAATCAAAAAAACTTATTTTACTCATTTTCTGTTACTTTTTGTAGCTTCGCTAGTTCGAACGTTTATGTTTCTTGGATTTCATATACTTTCTCCGGACAATTGTTTGGCACCAAATTTACCGAATTATTTGTTTATGATTTATACGAATGACTAATGATGACATCGTTGACATCGTTGAATCGAGTTTCTTTCTACTTTTCTGTGTGTATGAATGGAGTGTTAAGGAAATTTTAACGCTATGTTTCCGGCAAATTTTTTCGATTTATTTATCTCAAGTATATTTTAAGTTCTAATGGTTTCGAATGTCAACTCTCTTGTTTATTTGCAGTTTGGTGCATTTCTGTCTGTTTGTGTATGTTGTCTTTTTGTTTGAGGTCTAATTGAGCGTCAATAAGACAAACATTCTACACTTAATCATTAATTATCATATTCTTTTTTTTCTGTTTCATGCCAGTGATCTGATTTTCTGATCTTTATTTGTATACGTGAAATTTTTTTGTTCTTTCTATTACCGCAACCGAATTATCATTTATCTTTTCACTAAAAGAGTATTATGTCATCGATAAGAACAAAAATGGTTAATGAGAGTGATTGTAAGCAATGTTCTTCTTTATGTTTCGTTTGCATGTGTTAGATGTTTGTTAAGCTTTGTTATGAACAAAGTTGTTTGATTTCGTTTTTTCTAATAGATGTACTATCATTTCCAAACTGTGTTTTATAGTTGTTGGACACCATAACAAAAAAAATGTACACAGCCAAAAATTGCGTGCAGAATCTTAAAAAACAGCGAAATTAAGATCTTGAATCAAGATCTTACTGAAAAATCTCAAGACGTTAAGAGATTGTTTACAAGAAGGTTAACTAGAGTTCATTCTACCCAGGCCGATGATTCCGAAGACAAGTTCCTGGAAGTTTCTGACGTCGGTCGGATCCGACGTCAGAACATGCCGAAATCTGGCACAATCATGCAATATTACGTCAGAATCCTGGCGCCCGGATTCCGCGCCGGAGGATGTTGGTAAAGATCCGACCAGATCCTTCGAGCTCTATACATCGGATTTCACTGGATTTGGCAGAATCTGACCTGTTTCCAGGTGTTTGAAGGCTGAAAATAGCCTTAGATTTTTTATGTCCTATTTTTTTTCGTTCATTTTCTAGTGGCTTCTGTCCCTGCGCATTCGAGAGTAAGGGCGCATGGGCTATGGCATATACAACACGTCTGTTGACCAATGTGAGCGATCAATCACAACTGTTAAGAATTTTGAGAAGAAAATTTTCTTGGTTTTCATTTTCTGCAATTTCATACTTAAAGTACTGCTGTCGCGAAACAAAACAGTGAATATATGACTTGATATGGAAGTGAACGATGTGTGAGCCTGTTCCATGAAGGTTTAGTTAGTTTACAATGTTCAGTTGATGAACCACTGACATATCGTCTTGAGAAACCATTACAAGATCTTCTCGTCACAGGTCTACAATAGTATCCGTTTGAGAAAAAAAACGTTAAATCTTAGAGATGAATGGGGCAAATACAAAAGAATTTGCGCGTGCTCATCTCTATTACAGGTATTAATTAAGTACCGGTCAACAAAAAGAACAAAAGAAGTATAAGGATGAATATAATAACTAATAATACAATGTTTAACAATGACTGTGGAAACAAAGTAAAAACGTTGAAAGTTTTTTCTTTTCCAGTATGCATAAAAAAACTGTTAGATATTTCAATATTCAATGATTTAATAACAAATGTTTTTGTTTTATCCGATATATTCATATAGCTAGAGTGACCTCGTGAGAAGGGCGGAATTAAAGCTTCAAAGTATGGAAATCGGATTGCCTATATTAAAAAATGGTTATCACAAAATAATGATTAACCCCTGATACAATTTATGTGAGAAGTCATAACCAGTTGCGTTGTTATGGTGGCGCCATCTGAAAGTATTCCGAAACTGGTTGGTTCCTGTAGCTTTGATATTTTTAATTTTAAGTTTGTTATTTAGTTTAGGTGCAGGTGCTGGTTGAACTATTTATCCTCCTTTATCTAATTCAGTTTATCATTCTAGTAGTAACATCTTCGGGGATTAACCAAATTTTATGATAATGGACAATCCGATATGGGCAATCCGATTTCTATACTTTGAAGCTTTAGTTCTGCCCTTCTCATGAGGTCATTCCGGCCATATGATAGCACATCTGTCAAACAAACGAGTATCTTTATTTAATATAAATTCTTGGATATGTTTTTATGGCTGATCAATTATGTAATAGTAACCAAGGTCCATTTCGTTCAACCAGATTTTTAACTATTACTTCGTCTTTCATACGATTTGATTTCGGGATAAATTCAATAACAGTCAATATTTTAGCTATTTTTCCATCAATCTTCACTGTGTCAGGCACAATACAATTTGTTAACAGATCACTTTGAGATCGGTTGAATATAACTAAATCATGCTTAAAGTATAGTTGAGTTTCATGTTTAATTGGATAAATAATACTTGGGGTTAGCATTACACAGCCTTTATCATGCACATACATATTTGCGTATTAAATAGAACAAGTCAAGAGATAAACCATAATTGACAGGATTAACACTTAGGAAACGTAATAGCCCATCATCAATCTTATATTCCACACCTGTTGTACGTGCTGCATCTGCTATTAGACCAAAGAAATTAAATGATTTAGACGTTCTGCACAAAAGCAAATAAAAAATACGGTTATTTCATTTGCTTATCGGGTATGTATATAAAATTGGTGCGTACCCCCCAAAAATTTAAAAGAACAGTAACAAGGTAATTACTGAGTAACCATGCAAAAAACAGAGTTTACACCACCTCAAACGTGAAATTTAAAATAAAGTTTACACTGTCTCGGACAAAAAACTTTCGTTACACCCCCTCCAATGTCCGGCACCTACTCAGGTTCCTGTCTCAGCAACATATCCTCAAGCTAAGAAGTAATTTGAAGTTCTGAAAATCACTAAATTTTTCTACTACTAATCTGATCAGTTAAATTGAAGAACAAGAAGTGAAATTTGAGAAAACCGTAGCTAACAGCACTAAGTGTGGAGTTTCAAAAGACTGCAGACATCTTTCTGATAGTGTATAGAGTACTGAATATTGATTCCTTTAAGCCTCCCTCCCCCATGACTTATGAGGGAACCGTTTCGAGTGATTCACCCCGATTTAATCATAACATATTTTTCCATGGGTTATTTTGGATGCCGATTACGAATCTGATATTCATTTCGGCCCATATGGCTTTCTAGTATGGAACTCCAGCAACCCGATCTCTGGAGATCCACCTCGAATAGTTGAACGAAGAGATTCTGATATAGCCAGTTTGAAGAGTAAATCAAGTTACACAGGTACACAAGTTCTCTCAGATATATAAAATTTTTAATGTAAGAAAAACTACCATAATTTCCACGAGCGATGAAGGTAAAAATTTTCATCTCTGAGAGGACGTGTTTAGTAAGTCTCGAAACTTGTGTACCAGTGTAACTTGACTTGCTCTGGCTCAGAATCTCTTCGTTCAACTATCCGGGGTAAATCTTCAGAGACCGGGTTGCTGGAAATCCATACTAGAAAGTCATATTGGCCGAAATAAATATCAGATTCGTAATTGGCATCAAAAATAATCCATGAAAAAGTATGTTTTGACTAAATCGGGGTGAATCACTCGGAACGGTTCCATCGTGAGTCATTGCACCTGTGTGTACTCCTTAGGACGATTAACTAGAAACCAGCTCTAAGATGCTGCAAAGCCTTGACTTGAAAGTGCTGAAAAATTAACGGCTTGTCCAGCTAATGGCCCTCTTTTCTCGCTCTTTTTCCAAAACTTATTGCAATAAAGCTATAAACTAATCTAAAATTGCGACTAGATAATTAATTAGATTCATCATTTCTCTATTGCCACCATCAGGCATTAAGTATGTGTGGAGGTGTCTTATAGGTATTCAGGTAATCTCCAAAAAGCCTAGCTTCGGTTTTTTAAATTCGTAGTTACCTTTACTTAAAACTTCTAGTAACAATCCTTTTGATAAAGGAAAAATGAAAAGAGTTTTCCAAAAACTTAAGCAACGAGATGTCACTTTCCGTAGACAGAACGTTTCCTACTGGACCCTCTATTCCGCAGAATTTAAAAAGTCGCTTCTCATGCTCTCTCGCTCCGCTCCTTCTACCCACTTTTACGTTTTCTTTACGAACTGGAAGATTCGAGCCAATTCTGCTGTGATTCTCTTAGATTCTAGTGGAATCAGAATTCGTGTTCTATTAGAAACTGGCAGGATTGGACCCAATCCATTTAGTGACCACCCGTTGGTGGCAATAGCTGTCATTGACACATTCAGAGGGCTACAATAGTTTCTGAGTGACACCCTTGGATGTAGCACTAGCCTTTCCGTTATTTAAGAAGAAGTCACATCCCATTTGATAATAAATTTTCTCGTACTTCCTGGGTATGCTGTAGATCCTGAAGCTATTTCCTGTTTATTTTGACTTTTTAATCTTTCTCTGAAAGATTTCACTGTTGTGCATGAATGGAGCTCAGTATCTTTTGACGCGAACTTCCTTTGATTAGAAATAGGATCGATTACGTTCCGACTGGATGTCAGCATGTTGACTGCTTGAGATCTTAAAGGATGGTTTGTATTTTGGCTTTGAAAAGAAATTTTATCAGATAAATCTTGAGGCACAAGTCCATGAATAATGTTAAAAGTAGGAAGATTTGAATATATAAATTTGTTTATATGAGCGATGGTGATTACGAGATTTTTGTTAGTTTTAAGTTTGCCTGGTTTGGTTGGAGGGATTATTGTGTTGTTTCTTGGTCGTAGTTTTGGGATCTCTTTTTTTGATCCTAGAGGGGAGAGGGCGGAAGCTATTTTATTTCAGCATTTGTTCTTGTTTTTTGGTCACCCTGAAGTTTATAATTTCTTGTATTAACGGGTAATAGTTTGGAAATGAAGATTCTTGCTTTAACAGCAGCTTTGAAAATAATCATTTTTTTAATTCATTGGCGACGTTTCGATAGTCTCTGCTTTTCAAGACAAAAATTGAATTTATAAATTAAATAAAAAGAAATGTTTTAAGAGAGAAAAGGAAAATAAAGAGCTTTTTACATTGTCTGTTCTTCTGTGCACACGGAGGAACGACAAATACTAAATGAGCCTCTCAGTATTTTGCCAATATCTCTGTCAATTTTCATTGCGAAAACTCGAATTGTTTTTTAAAGATTCCCCGTTCAATTCTGTACAAAAGCCATATTGAACATTTTTTATACATCGTATAAATAAAAGACTATGGATGAAACACTGCAACTTGATAAAATAAACCTTTCAGTCTCCATTATTTTCTAGACTGAAAAATAGCTTTTGAATTTTAGCCCTTTGGAACGATATACGATAAGAGAAAATGACCATTTTGTGGCCCTTGAAAAGCTCTATCAACTGGCCGTATTTAAAACCTTTCATCATTACGACTGGTTGTAGGAGAATGTCTTTTCTTTTATCAACTATACCAGAAATCATCAGTCTTAAAGGCTAGTTTTGGAGCACACGGAAATTTTTTTATAAATCGGTTAAAATTGAATATTTTGGAGCTGCGGCTGTCTCAACTTAAAGCAAAATAATTATTTTATTATATCCGAACAGAAAAAGTTCAATAGCTGAATTCCTTGTTCTGTGCCGGGTCAAACTAGTCAAAATTTTCGCTTTTTTTGGAAAAGGACGGAGGCGATTATCTGATGAAATCGGCCCATGTCTGAATTTCATCGACTAATCAAAGACTAGATGTAGAATGAAGAGGCGAATTCTTTTAGGTACTTACTAGACCTTAGAACCACTCTCAGAAAAAAAATCATATTTGATCTAGTTTCTACTGCATCTGATATATATTATAGATCGTAGTTTTAGATCTTTCTCTCTCAGTTTCACAATTCCTCACAAATATTATATATCATTCGAAAGCTCTTTTTCTTCGCTATATTTCTGTATATCATATATACGGAAATAGCCGTTCTGAGGCCAGGTATGTTTAGAAATACTTCTGGCTATGGAAAATGATCTCCTATGTACAAAAAGTCTCGATATTCTATGTCAACATTTCTCATTCGACCATTACAATAAATATAACCGTGATTCTCAATTTTCTCCATCAGAACTTAACTTTTATGCAATAAAACTATGATATTTGGAATCAGGACCAAAACCTGAGTCGATCAGTGTGTATTTCGAAACTTTTACTTGATTTTCATTTTTCTGAGATGCCGATTTCATCAGATAATCCCCCCCGTCCCTTTAGTAAAATCGCCTTTTGGGCCACAAAATCACGTTTAAAGCACACCTATGATACATAAAAAGAAAGACGACATTTCGATGCACCAGAGCATACATTTTGATCGTATATTTATATATTTGATCGTGGCACAGTGGCATCCAGGAAGACATCTGGGAAAAAATCGAAAGTACGCTTTTGCTACTTTTTCATAGAGTCCTATATACTTCGATTATTGGAATATTTAATCATGTAAACATTTTCGTTCCACGTGCACACTTTTTAGGAAAATCTAAGATGGAAAGTAGCCTGTGTTTAACCTCCTCTTTGAAAAATAAGTTCTTTTGTTTAAATCAATCGATGCAAACTATCGATCCTCTTTTTCCGTTTTCCCGGTATACAGTATACCGAGAGACATCGACGTTTTATACAGTAGGTTTCGCGAAAAGTTTTCTGCTCTAAAAGCTGATTTATACAAAAATTATTGCCAATAACAGATTTGTGTTGTATGGAAACACAGAGACAGTTCAGCATTATCTGCGGAAGTGTGAGTTATTCTAAGAAAAGTTCTTATAAAGGAATCTCAACAATAAAAACGCTCCTCCCCTTAGTCTTGATCTTCTTTTACTAAATGTATCTCTTTCGAAGCAAGATTTTTCATGCATATATCCTGCAGTAATAAACAATATACTACAACAAAAAGATTTATAGAAGAAGAATAACGTGTTCCACGACACGCTCATGTTTCAGTACTCGAAAACACTTAATTAATCCAAATGGAGTGTGTGATCCAAATCGAATGCACAACTGCTAATATCCAGGACATATCCGTTTAAATCCAACATTATAAGCACTTGTAACACAACAACCACAAAAGTCATTTACATTAAAACACAGACTCAGTATCACACGTTTATACCCAGCAACATATAACAAAACTAAGCCACAGAACACAACGACACACTAATCAACCGGACTCGAGCACATTTCGTCATACGTACGACGGTTCAAAGTACTGGAAACCGCGCTATCTTCTAAGTTACGGATCACAGTCATCGAATATCTGCTTGGACACGTACAATGACACGATTCAATATTACTAACTAATTTCGAAGATGTAGGCGCCGTTGACCAAGAATCTCCATCCGAGTTACTGACTACCGATAACAACGACATATTCACAAATTGATCATACGAACCCATTAATGACGTCGCTGATGATGCAGCATTCCACAATTCACCAAGAGAGGACTGATCGAGCTATAACAAACAATTATCAAAACTATCAAAAAAAGCGCACGAATAAAAAACTTGACAAAAAACAACAAACAACAACACACAACAACTAAATTATTCAAAACAAAAATATACCCCACACAAAATCAAAACCGAGAAGAGCACGAACCACGAAAAAAAAAAGCCCATATTTAAAACGCCCGCAGTAAAAGGCCTAATAAACCGAAGACCACGTACCTTGTCGACTGTACTAGACTAAAAGTGAAAATAGAAATTTACATAGTCTGACAATTCATTCATTCATGTGTGGAGTCATATATTCATTGTTTTGAACAATTAGAAATATGTTTTGTGTCTTGGACAAATTTTGAGTGAAAGTCAAGATAAGCTACATTCAAAGAAATCATTTCTAACTGTTTTTGATTGGTTGTTGTTATGATCGCAGTAGATAGATATAGGTGACTCTAAGATGAATCTATAGCCAAATGTGGATGTAGACTTGACCGCTATTATGTGTTAGAATGTTGAATATGAACGTTATTAGATGAATGAAACAAAGCAATGTACACTCACTCCATCACCACCGTCTGACTCGTCAATTTCGAGAGTGCCGCCGGGCTTCATTCTATTGGATGCCGTTTGAACAGTTGCCATTTGATCAGTGGTTTTTGCTATTCGATCGACGAACTGTTGTGTTGTTTGAAAAGAAAACAATTTTTCTAACTTAAATATGCTTTACATGTTGCTAATGACATTTGTTGACGTCGTGTTTATTTCGCTCAAAATGTCGTATTAACTTTATGCTGTTTATCGATGTACGAGTCAAAACACAATAGAATGCGAACATTCGTCTTGTTCTTTGAACAATGTGGAACAAATGGTCTCCTCTATTCAATGTCAACTTACCTCCAATTGTGCTTGAATGTTTTCTTCTTCTTCTTCTAGCACAAGGACATCTGGCGGCGCATCTGACACATGTTCACTGTTGACAGGAGAACTTGTTGTCGTCTGAATGAACAAAACAGAACAAGATCATTCTGATGTTATTCGACGCGACATCAATAACTACGGTAAATGTTTGACGTTGTACGAGCGATGTCGAATAAAGACATAGATCCTATGCATAAATAAAAAATAAAATTTTTATAACTAAATAATTTTGTCGTTTTCGTTTTCCGTTTTGTTTACGTACAACTATAATTGTCAATGATTGCGATAATTTACTCTGTTTCACATCATATATATGTATATGCAACTAGAAGCAGATATGATTTCATTGTTCTAATTTTAAACAAATAAACATACACAGGCCGACTCACAATACCTCTGTCCAAAAGTGATATTGTGCAATGTTTTCAATTGACTCTTGGCCATACGTTGAGTTAATCATTACGGAGTGATTAGTATATAAATGAAATAATGTTAGACCAAAATGTGAAATGTCTCCTATTTTAATCGCGCTAAGCGTAAATTCAACTTTGAAATAAGTTAAAATTGTAAACGGTACAAAAGACGTTGGCAAATGGATGTGCTAGAAAACAACATGTGAACAAAAATCTTGTCAGAACAATCAATTCGAACTGAATACAGATAGTTTAAGCAATAGAAGAAATGAGCTAATTTCATTTTAAAGAGATTATTGTCACCTTTTCATTTCAGAGATTATTAATCGTCATGTTCGTTCGTCGAGATCAAAAAGCGGCTCAAACCGCAAACTTCATTGTTGAGTATTTAAAGTCTTCTCTGTTAACCGTGGAATAGATGGTGAAGAGTTTGACAGAGAAAAGAAAAACTATAATAATGATCATTTTATTTACATTTTTTGGAGCCAATTTCGATATGAGAGTGGAACCAGAATGTGTTACTAGACGCATGTCATGAAGATATGCAGCGATTTTGAATTCATTTAATCGTGTTCTATTATAACATTTGCCTGCATTTTCATCCTTGTCGACTGTACTAGACTAAAAGTGAAAATAGAAATTTACATAGTCTGACAATTCATTCATTCATGTGTGGAGTCATATATTCATTGTTTTGAACAATTAGAAATATGTTTTGTGTCTTGGACAAATTTTGAGTGAAAGTCAAGATAAGCTNATTCATTCATTCATGTGTGGAGTCATATATTCATTGTTTTGAACAATTAGAAATATGTTTTGTGTCTTGGACAAATTTTGAGTGAAAGTCAAGATCAGCTGCGTCTGCAGAGTTCATTAAGTTAGTTTTGTGATGAGGTGTGTTCTAAGGGTGTGTTTTTTTGGGGCTGGTGTTCTGGTTTGTGAGTGTGTGTTTGTGGAGTGGGTGTTGTTTTTGTTTTATGTGTGGTGGGTTGGTTTGTTGACGTCGTTGTATTGGAATGCTTTGTGATGGTTTTTGGTCGTTTGGTCGTAGATTTGTTTGCTTGTTTTTTGGGTTTGGTTTGGGTAATGTTAAGTGTTAGTGGTGGTGTTGGTTTGGATTTGTTGAATGATGGTTTTGTTTATCTTAAGGTTCTTAGTTTGAAAGTAGTGTGTAATTATTCGCGATGATGGGCTTGACTTTGGTAAGATTATCTACCTTGTTTGAGTTTCGTCAGATAGAGGTTCATCTTTTCGTGACATAATTGAATGTCTTGGTTAAGTTTTGAATATGGCTTGAAGTGCCTGTGTTTCCGCGTTCTTTTGTTATGCTGGAATGCATTTATGTGGATAACACGGAAAGTTAGGTATATGTTACAGGATTATGTGTGTGCAATGGTGTGTTCATAGTTGCTGATTGGCGCGTGTTTGACAGCTATGAGGATAGTGTGCACTGCAGTTGGCGTTCTAGTAATGAATGTATGAGTATGATATCTCTTTCGTTCTTCACGTTTGGTCAGTTATAATTTTGAACAATGCTGAAGGGTTTAGTCAGAACTCTGTAACAGAAATCCGTAAGCACTCGAACGATATATTCAAACGCTTACTAAGTCATGAAACATTCTTATTAAGAAACATGTTAATTTGGTAAGATCCGAACACTCTAAGAAATAGTCGTAGATTAATAAACTATCAAAAAGGGTTTATTGAGATCAATAAGCCTTTTGAAAAACGCTTTTCCGTGTTTTATTTCCAAAAAGTGAAAGGCGTTCGTGTCAGATGCAAAATGGAAATAGGGCGGTTTCTTATCAAAAATAAAAAGTTTTGTAGACTCTAGAAAAGCTAGCTAAAAAAATACTGGAGAGTCTTTTAGCTGATATTTTAGACTCAACAAAATTTTTTATTTTTGAGAAAAAGCCGCCCGATTTTCATCTTGCATCTTTCACGAACGCTGTTTAGTTGTTGGAAATAAAACACGGAAAAGCGGCAATAGAAAATTCAGTTATGGTTTCATGAAGGCATATATTTCAAACACACTGTGGTTTTTGACATAGATTTTTCAAAGTAAAACGAAACGATTATCAATTAGCCTCTGATTCTCTCCAAGACAGGATCAACCACAAGAAAGCCACATTCGTCTGTTCCGTGGTGAAGGAGACTTGTATCTTTCTTATCTACTATTTGATTAAGCGCTCTTATGCTATTTTCACTGGAATATTATTGTGTCTATGATGTGGAAAGCGAAACGCATGAAATACAGACTGTTCTAAAGTTAATTTGTGAAAATCTAAAAATATAAGGATCGCTTGCGATAAACTGCTGGAACAGACAAAATCTTAAATGTTTTTGATTCAACAACCTGAACATAAGCGAAAGCTGGCGGGGAGAATTTGATCTCGCTGCTCTACTATCTTTCGTATTTTGTGTATGTATTTAGCTATATACTAATAAAAACAGTAAAATGATCGATTAGAATACGAGTAAAACATAGATGAACTTCACGTTTTCTGATTTCTACTTAAGTTAACAAAGGGAAGCCATGAAAAAGATACATGTGATGTTTTCGTCATTGAATGCAGACGTCTTATCTGTTATCTATCAAATACTTTTCTTCATACCTGTTTTGCGATGCTGAGTGAGGTTGAAATTCCTTGAAGCTGTAACAGATTTTGTGATTCATCAAAGATCTAAGCAAATCAAATAGATCATTAAATTCTGATCGAAAAAAAAAATTGAATTTGAATTAAAATCGACATTATCTACTACTTACATCAAGATCACCTTGTTTGGTTTCTACAGAAGCAGAAGTGACAGTTGTTGCATCAAAAACTGTGGATATCTTCGTTGGTAGTACCGCTGAATTCAACTAAAACATCAGCAAACAAGCCTTTCTCAGTTATTCCTGAACTAATTCTTAGGAATATAGAAAATATATTTTCTTCACACATATTTAAAGTAAACCATAATTAATGAAAACTCTTAAGTATTGGTGATTTATGCAGGAAAGTTCAATCTTAACTGCTGTAATGATATGTATTTCCTCAATGTAATCTAGGTATATATCATAAAGAACTCTAGTACGACCTATTATAGTCGAAAAGAAATCTGGAATTATCGATTTTCTGTCTTACAAAAAAATTACAGACAAAAATGCCTACCCATGCAGAGCATTTTTTCAGAATACCGCCGGTACAATAAAATATCGTCGGCATACCGCACGGTTAACCGACAGTAACTTATTGGACCGCTATCTAGGAAAATATGGCCCTAACCGTTTTTATTCATTAAACATCGTATTTTGTACTCATGAAGATGTAAAAGAAACACAAAAATTCGAGAAACTTCATTTCTTCTTCAGATTAAACTTTTCGTTTAGATCATATATACTGAACTGAAAAAAACTGAAAGCTGAAAACTAGTTTCGAACTCCTGTTCTACATGTTCATAATAATAAAATACCAAACGGTATCGCTGGTTATACAGACGGTATACAGTGACATACCGCGTGGTTACCGCCGGTATACCGGACGGTATTTTCGTTTACTATGGCGTACACATCACGGGAACTGTCGATATTTTGCCAGTATTAAGCACATGGGTAGCGACCTCTGTTTTAATTGTGAAAAATCTTCGATTTTTATGGAAAACATAGATATGCTATCGAATATGTGTATCTGACCAGGAGCAACCTGCAAAATGGCTTTTTACTTACGAGGGAACCTTCCGGGATGAGACACTCCGTTCTTTTTCGTTTAGCTGTGGGCTTTATAGCAAAACAGCTCTCATAAGAAACACTTTTTGTAGCAGTTTATTTTTTACAGTGTGTAGATATAGAAAAAACGGAGACTTTTAGTATTTGAAGATGCTTTAATTTTCTCCTTCTTCTTCTGTGTTATTAGTAAGTAAACAAGCAACAGGTTTTTCCGTATACTTACTACTTTTGGAAGAGTCGGTATAATTTCGAAGCAATAACCCTAGCAGTGGCAAGAATATAATAAATAATAATGCACTATAATCTGTTTCAAAAAGCAGTGTACTCTCTCGTTTTTTGAATAGAGTTTGAACAAAAAGAGATAGACACTAGCGGTTTCCACTAGATTGTAACGAAGACCTAAGAAAATTATCTTATGGAAAATAAAGTTCCATAAGATAATTTTCTCAGGTCTTCGTCATCACCGAAAATTCGTCAATCACCGAAAACATCACCGAAATTTGAATTAGTGTGGATCGATTTTGGTCGACTTAGGAATTATTAATTTTCGGTGAAAATAGCAAAAAATGCGGATATGCAAGTGTTCGATGCTCATCGGACGCAAAAATGGACTAGTCAGAGTGCGATTTTTCGACGGTTTGATTGGTCAGTAACCCGTCAAAATTGATTCAACTTGACTAGTTTTCGATCAGTCGACAAAGAATTTCGACTAGTCGAACGGACGGCTAGGCCGAAAAGAAACATTGCCACAAGGCTCATTGTGGTTGAAACCCTATGTTTTTCTTCATTTTTGGAATGCCAAACTTAATAACCAAGAAGATATGTATGTCACAAGAAAAACTGCTTTCTCTCAAAATGGTGAAAACTAGACCTCGGACATGTGCAAATTGATGGAGAACTATATTACCATAAAATTTGAAACGAAAGTGTAACGGGAATTTTGAAATGACAAACGAATCAAAATACACCAGATACGCCACCTGAGGTGATTTTTTTAACTTTACTTTCCCATGAGATAATTTTCTTAGGTCTTCGATACAAGCTAGTGAAAACTGCTAGTCTATTCTTTCTATTCAAACACTATTCCAAAAATGAGAGAGTACACTGCTTTTTGAAATGGATAGTAGTAATATCATATGTATATTGTATTGACCTACGATATTCAGCGTGATATGTGAAGCTGGTTTACCATCTACGGTATCAAAAAAATGAACATAAAACAGGTCCGTTGCAAAATCAGGAAATCCATGTACAACAGCGCCATCTTTCGTATAATTCGATTTGACCATTAGTTCACCTCCCATTTCGCCATACGTCAGTGTTACGCCAGTGCTGTTTACATTACTTATATTTGGCACGTGAACGTAATGAAGCAAAACTGAAGTAACCATCTTAATGAGAAGGGTATGGATATTAGTATCTGGAAAATTTATTCCATCATTACCAAGATTTATAAGTTTCGAAATTATAACAGCAGTGGTCGACGTAATCTGTAAACCTTCAAGGAAATCATGACCAAATAAGGGGAAACCTGCTTGACATGGTTCTACAGGATCAGCCGTAATCGATTCTATAGTAGACTGATCTGGTGGAATCTGAAAAAGAGCGTTTCTTGTGTTTCTGTTTATGCCTTTATTCAACTTTGATTTCTTAAGACACATAACATGAGCATTGAAATTTCGAAAACTAATCACACCGGTTATTTTTTGTTTGTTGTTCATGTGATTTTTCGACCTTTCATCGGTCATTTTCAAACGCAACTGACAGCAAACGCTAAGAGAACGATTGAATATACAAAATTGAGCGAAACGTCCACGTCCTTCCTCGAGCAAAGCACGAGGACTGATGCTCTTTAGTATAATAAA